TGACTGAACCCTCTCGGCTGCCGTTCACCGCAACGAAACACTGTTTCGCCATCACTTGGTCTCCCCGAACCTCTTCTATTTGACCAGTTGGCGCCGGGAAGCGCAGAACCTGATGGTAGGTTGATGCTACAGCTTGCATGGCGTGCAACCAGCCCCTGCCTAAGATTAAGTTGTAGGTGGATAGGACCTTGAGCACCCAGAATTCTACTTGCTTTATGACCGAACCCGCCTTGACCGGCAAAATGATCTTTCCCACCGGCCACGCTGGCTGAGAGTTAAAGCCAACCAAAGGAGACGTCGCAGGGGCCAAGGCCTTGTCCTCCAACTTCATTTGCTTGAACGCGTCGTAATACATGATTTCGACCGACCTCCCCTGGTCAATCAAGATCCTTTTGATGTCAAAGTCCTTGACGCGAAGAGTCACTACTAGGGCGTCATTGTGGGGCATCTGAATTCTCTCCAACGCCTTGACCGGCAAAATGATCTTTCCCACCGGCCACGCTAGCTGAGAGTTAAAGCCAACCAAAGGAGACGTCGTAGGGGCCAAGGCCTTGTCCTCCAACTTCATTTGCTTGAACGCGTCGTAATACATGATTTCGACCGACCTCCCCTGGTCAATCAAGATCCTTTTGATGTCAAAGTCCTTGACGCGAAGAGTCACTACTAGGGCGTCATTGTGGGGCATCTGAATTCTCTCCAAGTCTTTACTGGAAAAGGTGAGGATATTCTTCTCTTCGGACTTTCCTTTCTTCACAGCGGACTGAACGGAGAGCACTTCCCTCATGTGCTTGGCTTTCTTAATCATTCCTCTCAACTCGCAGACCCTTGCCGGTTCAATGATGCCATGGATGACATTGATTACGCCTTGGGGCGCTGCCTCCAGGGCGGCCAGGCCGTTTGGCTCGGTTTGCCCCGGCGGGGCGGCTTTCATACCCTCATCTATGTACTGGTCCAAATGTCCCGCCGCCACCAACTCCTCCAAATATTATTTGAGCGGAAAATATTGTTTGAGCGGCAAGCAATCCTTCGTTCGGTGCCCCCGTTCCTTATAGAAGGTGCAGCGATACCTTGAGTTGAAGCCTCTCTGTACATTTCCCAACTTTGCTGGCTAGTGGACGAAGGGCTTACCTCGAATTTCACTCAGGATGTGGTAAATAGGGATCTTAAGGACTGTGGTGATACCAGTTCGCGCCTTCAACATCCTCTTGGCGTCTTCCTCTTCATCACGAGGAGCGTTAGCTCGGTCGTTTCTACGGCCTTGGTTTCTATCATCGTAGTTTGAGTTACGATGTTGATTTTTTGACCGGTCATTTGGGCGGTTATCCTCCTGTCCGACTGAGTGAACCTTCCCCACCACTCTTTTATTTGCCGCCACCGGATTAACCTTCTCGTTCGTGGAGGCGGCATCATCCTCCACACGGATGTGTTCATTGATCCGTTGCATCAAGGATTCCATGGTTGTGGGCTGGTGCATTGTAAACGAATCTTGCAGCCTATGACCGACTGGGAGACCTCGCTTGTATTGAGTAATCGCCAGATTGGTAGGGCAGCCAAGGATCTCATTGCAAGTTTCCCAGTACTTTGCATTATACGCCTTCAACGAACCTCCAGACTCCATCTTGACGCCCAGGAGATGGTTGACCTCCTTTGGTGTTCGAGCGTTGGTTTCGAATCTGGTGACGAAAGCCTCCGCTAATTGCTGCCACCCCTCGATACTCCCCTCCGGAAGCTTTTCGAACCATTTTAGGCCTAGTTCTCCCAAGCTTACCGGGAATATGGGGCACATCAAGGCGTCATTGCGCCGGTGTCCAGCCATTACTTGCCGGTAATGACTCAAGTGCATATACGAATCCGTCTTGCCGTCGTACAAGGTGAACTTAGGCTGGTGGAATCCGGCAGGGAGTGGTGTACTCTCGATTTCTGGAGACAGCGGCGTAGCTGTAAGTCTCACCAGCTCTTTGTCCACAAGCGCTGGGGCCACCATTCTGGGCGCTGGCATTGCCACTTCCTCACTACACTGGATTTGGGAACTTAGCCTCTGCAACGCCGGCAATCTCTGAGTCTCTTTACGGCGTGCCCTCTCCTCCAACATATCCCTCAAGTCTCTGGAATGGGTGGAAAAAGAGTATCGCGACGTCATCGATGGGCGCGAGGAACAGTAGGTGCTGTCGCGAGTGAGAGATTTGCCCTCCTGTGGGTTGGAGTCGCCAACCCTATAGCTTCTGGTGATAGAGAGAGAATGTGTCCTTCCTCGGCGGCGACTGCCAGAACGAGGAGACAGGGTGCGCTCACCGAGGTTGTCCTCTCCAGCAACACTTTTTCCTTTGATCTGGCGCTTCAGCACCTCCATTTCAGCCGCCATCTTGCGAATAAAGGCGTCCTGATCTTTGACTTTGTGCTTCAGGCGCTGTGCATGCGAATCCCCCCGCTGACGACGGCCCTCTGGACTCTTCGAGCGATCAGTATTCCTTCCGCGTTTGTCTCACGCACCTCTCGAAGAGGTCTCTAGGCCCGCCATGGATGGAATGTTTGGGGGGCCTTCTCTTCGACGAACAGATTCTGGTGTGACACCATTGACGACGAATAGTGGAGTTTCGCCGTTGCTAGCCATGGAAACGGTCGAAAAAGCTTGAAGAGCAAGGTTTGTGTATCAAACTCTTCCCACAGATGGCGCCAATTGTACGGGGGTGAAATATCCTTTGCTTTCCGTACTCCTTGAACTCAAGCTTCACGTAACGACGTTTGACCTGGAAACAGAGAAACGGTGAGCTGCCTGGCGGTGTGTTGCCGGATAGACCTTTCGACGATCAAGTCGAATCACTTGAGGAGGAAGAATACTGTTTTAGAGAGAAAGAGTCGTTCAGATGGCATACCTCCAACGTTCCCCTTCCTTCATTTTTCTAGGCTGGCCATGCAGCCTCAGGGATTATGCGCGCACTACCTCTGCTGTCCTTCCCTGGATAGGTGGCAGTGCTCGCCTTTCACCACCATACGCGTGTAAAGGCCAAAACGTCCAAACAATATATGCAGAACTGCCAAGCGGTATTGACGCGTGCTTGGAGCGGGCTTCCTTTCCACCACATCATTGGTCCAGGTGGCACACTTAACCGGGATATCATGACCGACCTATCCTTTGAAGAAACACAACTACGATCAATACGGCCGAGCTGTAAGAAGTCGGTTCTTCCGGATTGACTGGCCATGAGGCGAACCGGCCTTCGCCCCGATCTAAATTCATTCCGGGCTATGCTTGGCGCGGTTCCGATCAGGAACACGAATGCCTAGCCGAACGCCTAGCCGAATCACAACTTGGTCGGGAACACGCATGACCCCATGCTCCGGTCGACTAATCTAGCTCGGCCCGGCGCGACGGCCCGTGGAGCCGCTCCAACCGAACAAACAATGTGACTTGGCCACCCGCTATAACCCGCGTTACCGTAGCTCGGCCGTACTTGTCCGGCGCAAATCTCCCTCTCATTAGTTATGATACATTGTGATGCTGGTTATACCATTATTTTGATTATGATCGGAGAGTAATTAATTATATTTCATATGATGTTTGGTTATAATTCATTTTTTTTTTAGTTATAACTCTCATAGTATTTAATTATACTATTTGTGATAATCAAACTCGCAAATAATATAACTTACATATGGTACACCCTTTAAAGGTGTGTACCATAACATTTCCCTATCTATTCTTTTACAGCTTCCAAATTGCCTTTATTCTGAATTAATTAAGTACACTCTTGCGTATAATTAATAATTAATTGCTCAGGTTAGTTATATGTTCGTGGCTTAGTTCTTTGCGTTTTGTGACTGTTTTGTATCTAAACTTATATCCTTTTTATTAATATATAATCTGTTTTACTAGTTCTAAAAAATAAAAAAAAAAATAAGAAAAAGACAACGGTTAAGGTGAGATGGACGGCAACAATATGTTGAACACATCTTGATCTTGTAAGTATTAAATTATTTAAAAAGAAAACAGACTCCAAGCCAATCAAGAAAATGGCCAACGATAAACCACGCGACACAACACAACCAATTCAATAAAAAATCATTTCCTTTTGTTTTATGTCCAAGATCATGTTCAAATTTCAAATTTTAATTTCAATTTCAATTTCAATTTCTTTCTAACTCTTAATTAGAAATGAATAAATGGTTTTAGGAGAGTTCATACCCGATGAAAAAGTGAGACTCACAATTTTCTGTTGACACATAAAAAAAGAAAAAAATTAGAATATATATTGTTTAATAATTTGTGAATAAAATAGTCACTTGGTGTTCTCAAAGGGTATCAAATAATTTTATCTTAACTAATTTGTGCTCTGTTTTAATTGTCACTTTTCATTAATAAAAATCTTTATCATTATTATTATAATTCAATTCAACATCTTAACTAACTTTTGTTGTGTTAATTGTCACTTTTTATTAATAACAAATCATTATCATTGTCATTTTTTTCAACCTTATCCTTCATATTTTAGATTTCTCTTTTTACTTACACTCACACCTAAAGAAATAGTAAAATTGCTTTCATTGAGGTATACCATAAAAATAAAAAATAATTAGATAGTTTCTTTCTCCTAAGTAACTCAGAACTTCTGAGTCAGAAAGACTTGGTGAAGATCAAATCCTTATGAGAAAAATCCCATTTTATCATTCAAACTATCACTTAAAAACTAATTCGACATCTGTTCTTTTAATAATATCAATTTTATACTTAAACTATTCATTCTTAGATCAATTTTATCCCAACTGTTAGTAATATATGGCCCCGAAAGTTCAATTGAAATTTCATTTTATTTTTCAAATTATGCTCAAAATATCAATTAGACCCCTAAATATATATAAAAATAAATAAATTTAAATATCTAATAGTAATATTCATCTAAAAGAGTGAGAAAAATAAATTTTAAATAATCAAATTGCAAAAAGTATTTTAAAAATATACCCCACTTTTAGCAGTCTACTAGTCTTCCAACATCTCTACTTGATTATAACGAGTACAATAGCAAGCTGATTGATTGAAATAGGTTATGGAATATGAGGTCCCGGACTTTATTCATTATATAATATGAATTAACCACAGAATACACATTTTGGATCTGAAAATGAGTACAAGAATAATAACTTATGATAGCTAGTCTCTAAGTTAAACAGGAATAGCAGGTCGGAGAGTGATTAATGCTTTCTTAATTCGGTCCACTGCAGCCTTTAGGCTGGAAAGAGATGATGCATACGAGATGCGAATGCAGCTGTCATCCCCAAATGCATCTCCTGGGACAAGAGCCACCTGAGAATCATAACCTTAAAGTCATTAATAATAATAATAAGAATAATAATGTGAAGTAAAAGCAAGAAATGAACTTCACTGCTTGCGACCATGTTTTTATACCCAGATAACAAATTAATGAGCAGACACGAAAATAGAGTTTATAGCACTGTCCAGCGCTTGGGTCTAATTCATCTACTTGTGAGTTCTTCCTGACCTAGTTACTACATTCCCTTAGATGTTATTCAATTTACATCTCTTTCTACTTTCTTTTCATTTGATTATGACACGGCAACCCTTGAAAGATTACCTGAGCCTTGTTCAGCAAATAGCGGCATAGAGATTCTGAATCTTTGATCATACCAAAGCCTTCAGCCTCTGCTCCGTAGTAGGAGCTGAAATCAAGGAAGAGATAGAAAGCTCCCTGCAAATGAGAAGTATAATAACACTCAAAATCAATATTGTAATAGCATGGGGACAGAATAATAAAAAAATAAAAAAAGGAAAGAGAAGAAAAAGAACAGGACAAAGCAAGCTAGCACATGGTTTTAAACACCAAATATGTACGCATAATAAATAAAGTCCATACCTGGGGTATTGATATTTTAACACCTTCCAATTCTCCAAAACTCTTAACTAAATAATCTCGCCGCTCCTGAAATGCTTTAACCATAGTAGAAACTGATTCCCCACCAGCATAGCCCAGTCCCAAAGCAGCAACACCTGCTTTTTGGGATATGCTACTGGCACCTGAAGTGAACTGGAATGATACATGCACAAATTAGATTGAGCTTGTTGATAATAAGGCGAGGACATGCTTCCATGAATGTATAAAAAAATTAAAATTGCCATGTTAAAATAACCAATCGCAATGGGGCGCTAATAATCAACACTGCAGTCTGCAATAGATTTCAAGCAGTTTTTACTGAACATATACTGTTACCAACTTATTAGCAAATCATTGTCCAATATCGCGATATATCACATATTGATATATTGCATCATTTTTTTTTAACATTTTTTAAAAAATCAATAAATATTACAATATATCGTGACAAAATATATCCCATATAAATAGATATATCATATAAATTACCATGACTTTTAAACTTCTATATTTCAATAGCAAAGCAATGCATTTGCAAACCATTAGTAGAGAGTGAAATAACAGTGACCATTATATTTAAAGTCTTGAATGGCCTAAGCTGGTGGAAATCAAAGCCCTGATGTTTTGGCCTTATAAAAGGAAGCTTTGACTCTAATTTAAAGGTCCTTAAAAGAAAAGTTCTTGGGTCCTTAGAAGCCCTGGGTCCAAACATTAACTGTTACATATATTAGGTTTACAAAGTACAAATATTACATAACTAACTGTGTGAATAATTGTAAAATCATCAAACAACATGCATAAGATGCACGTCCAAGCCATTTTGATCCATGATTACCTAGGGCCAAAGTAATGACTGCATCAGATAAAATTGGTACGAATCGCGTAGTCAGCATTCTTAAGACATGCTGCCATTTCAACTATCCAATTGCTTCAAATCTCAACATTCATCAGTGAGAAAGAACAAGAGGAGAATTATTTTATCTTCCATATCTTTAGAAGGTCAGAACCTCCACAACAAAGCATGAGAAAACAATCCAATGTATCATCAAAAGCTTAAGCATATTCAAGAAAATTGATTCTCAATGAACTAGAAGTTGTTAACAGACATATTGATGGAGGTTACAGAATACAACTAGGTAAGAGTTTACAAATAAAAATGATGGGTGTGGAGAGGCAAAGAAATGGCATACCTGACTCTGAATCTTTCCACATGCCGCAACATAGTGTTTCGGACCAGCTAGGTATCCAAGTCTCCAACCAGTCATTGCAAAGGTCTACAAATATCCACATTTTCTGAGATTCATCACTTGAGGTTTATGACCATATCAAAATGATCTACAATGGAGACATGTCATGAAAACAGAAAAGAAGCTTAAAAGAAACAGAGTTGGAGCACCTTAGAAAACCCATTGACAGTCAAAGTCCTCTCCCACATGCCTGGCAAAGATGCAAAGCTTGTATGAGTCGCTGGTGCATAAATAATGTGTTCATATATTTCATCAGACAGCACCTGAAAGGAACAGCCAAAGATAGTCCCAAACTCAAATGTTAACTAAGTTGAAAATTCTACTAGTACAGGCACCAAAAGGTACATGACAAGTGATATTACAAGAAGCCGAGGATGCTTTGCCACAATTTGAGCAATTTCTTCAAGCAGTTTCCTTGGGTAAACAGATCCGGTTGGGTTACATGGAGAACAAAGAATCAACAGTCTTGACTTGTCAGTCAGTTTGGATTCAAGAAGCTTTGGATCGAAGAGAAAATTTTTGGAGATGTGAGTTGGAAGAAATACAGGTGTTGCATCAGCCAACCTTGCCATTTCTGGGTAACTCACATAAAATGGAGCTGGAATTATAACCTGAAGAATAAATACTATGCCAATAAGTGTCCATCAAAAGCAAAGGTCAAACATTTGACTCTAACAATCAAAAAATCAGCACCCCTCATCTAGGTAACCAACAGATTATACGATTGTGCCCACATTGTGTCAACCTTCATTATATAAACATTTGAAAGGGGCAATAAAACATCAGAACAAAACATGCCTATTATGTAGTTTTCTTCTTTTTTCTTCCTCTTCCTTTCTGGAAGGTAAATTCATGGAAAAGTGATAACCAGCCGAAAATTATTGTGCCAAAAAGGTGCACTAGTGAACAATCCTCTCTGCAAAATAGTGTCTCTGAACCTCAACTCTTCAATATAATCAACTGTGTGTAGTACCCTTTCTATCATTCCATTTATTCTGCCATAGTTCCATAGTTAAAGTTATTATCTGTTTTAGATCTGCAACTTGCAAGACCCATTAGATTCTTTCTTAATCACTACGGTCAAGAAAACCAAATAAAGTTGCTATCCTTTTGAAGCATGAAGAAAGCGTCAGGCAATGACCAACTGCAGGCCTTTTCCACTAATTATTAAGATTGATTGTGATGAGAGATTCCGATAACACCAACGTACTATAGTCGTACCAGAATAGACACCCAACTGACTCAACATGTCAAATTACCACACCAATCAGGAAAAGATCATTGTCCTCAGCAATTCAATGATATCTTAGGGGTCGTTTGTTAACATTTATGTTTCTTTTTCTTATTTTCTTTTCCTTTATTTTGGAAAATGAAAACAAAAACTTGTTTAGTATATTGTTTTCGTTTTCTCAAAAATGGAATTGATTCCAAAATTTTTTGAAATGAAAAAAAAAAAGGTTTTCAAAATAAGTTTCCACTCTCTCCTCTATCCCCCACCACCTCCAATCACCACCCAACGCCAGCCTCTGACAACATTCCGGTAATTCTTTGGCGACCAGCCGGTCACTTCGATAACTAATTTCGGCGGCCACCTCCAGCCATCCCCGCACCATCAACACCGGCTCACTATCAGAGAGCTCCGGCCACCTTCCAGTGACTCTTCAGCAACCAATCAGTCACCACCGTGACCACTAACTCCAGCAACCACCTCCAGTCACCCCCACCACGGGTCACCATATTCCTCCACCCTCCACCATTGGCCACCACCACCGGCAACTCACCAAGCATGTTTATCTAATTTTTGTTTTTATTTCTTTACAAAACATTTTTGTACACCAATTAAGTTTTCTGTTTTTATTTTTATTTTTATATAGAGATAAAAAACTGAAACTTGTTTCCTGTTTGTTGTAAACTGACAACGTTAACGAAGGAGAGTTCTGAAAGAAATGGTCCAGTCAACTGAGATGTAATTGTTTCAAATCCAAATGTGATTTATTTGCAATGAGAGTTGAATACAGAATAGAAAGAGTACACACTCCATGCCAGCAAACAGGGAACAAGGAACCTAATATTCATTTCACAGCACATGGTAGTCAAAGAACATATTTATAGACATAGTGATGATTGTGAAAGTATGGACTACACTACACCTCATCTCCGGGAGAACAAACAGCTAGCATTGCTTGAATGCTGCTCTGCTTTGCTCCATTGCTCACCAAAATCTGATCAGGTGTATAAGAGATCCCATTCTCCTCTGCCATAAAAAGGGAAAAAAAAAAATAATAAAATAAAATGTAAAAATAATCTCTTGGCCAGAATAACAGTTAGTTTAGTTGGAGAAAAGCATTGAACAAATAGCAAATCAACTAACCCTTCAACTTTTGACAAATAGCTGATCGGAGCTCTAGCGTTCCCGCATTTGGAGTGTACCTTGTGTAACCTTCACGAATTGCATCAATCCCAGCCTACTTTTATAAGATCACAAAAATAAAGAAATGACCAACAATAAGAGTGGTGCAAGAACTAGGAAACATTTTTATTTTTAAGCATAAGTGAATCATATAGAGAATTGTCAAAAATTACCTCTGCTATTACAGTTGGGGTATTGAAGTCAGGTTCTCCAGCTGCTAATCGGATAACAGGCACACCAGCTTGTACTAAAGCTGTTGCCTGGTCAGATATAACCACCGTCTTTGAGGGCTTCACCGAATTTACTCTGGGACTTAGAGAGATATCAACCTCTATTTGCTCAAAGCTGCTTGCAACTCTCAAAACTGTGTTCACCCTGTGTGTCTGTAGTGATTTTATGTTCTCCAAAGATCTAGGCAAAAACAGAAATAGAATCAGAATTAAAGGAATGGTGTTTTCCAAAGTAGTTTGGAGAAGAAAAAAAAAAACTCTTTAGAATTATAGAATTACAGGATTGACTTTACTTAATAGGCTACAACATTTTCCCATGTAGAACCAGGGGCAAGTAAGATAATTCTAAACAGCAAAATAAGAAAATTATCATATATTTACACAGAATAATTCATAAAGTAAGACAGCAGAAATATGTGTCTGACACATGTAATCAATTTAGACACTTAGATCCTTTAATTTGTGATAATACATGAAGAAATAAAGCAATATTTTCAAGCTTCACATGAATTAGATATAGAAATTTCATATTTCTAATATATTTCTATATTGTTAACATATAATATCTACTACACCCCACTACCTGTAAAGGCACATATAATATATATATATACACCCCACTACCTGTAAAGGCCACAATGTATACCTGTAATGTAGCTGTAAAGCCGGAGACTTTCACTTTAGCTTTAGCCTATCTCAATGTAATCACCATGCATCCGATTCCATTTGTCTCCCTCTCCTCTCTATAAAGAGAGGGAGCTCACTCTCTTGTAAGATACAAAAACACAATACAACAACACCAATTCTTCAGTTCAGTCTCTCTATTCTCTCCCTCCTTACAAATCTATCATATATAATTTACGGCATCTCACCCAAAAATATTATATAATATGTAATATATATTTGCATATGACATGTCCCCGTACCTATACTCAATTTTAAATACGTAAGCCAAGATCATAAGATTCAAATTTATGAAAGTCTGATATTTGTATACACACCCGCACTCGATACCCGTAATCGAGTCCATGTAACATAGGTATTTGTTTTCAACCAATATTCATTCTAGTCCAACCAATCATTTCCATGTATAGAATTTTCAGGATTTTAACAAAATTAGATATTTTGGCCATTGTTCAGCTTTGCTTAAATAAAAAATAAAGAGTAAATTAAAAAAAAAAGAAAAAAAGCAATAAAGCATAACTCGCAGAATTTGGTGACACGAAATTGGTAAATATGACAGAATTCTGGTGGCGGCAATGATGTTCACACTGCGGAATTCAGTGAGTGAGTTTATGTCCCAATAATGTCCCCCGTATTCTGATTTGAGCAACAACAAAATACTACCTATATAGAATACAAATAAATTATGTGATGTTAAATAATAATTGGGGAAAAAATTATGTGAAATGAATGTAGTTTGGTTTTAGTTTTATGAATTCAGTTTTTTGTTTTTATTTTTTTTTTGTTTTTACTTAATATTTTTAAAATTTTAAGTATTTTATAATATTTTTTTGGATACACTTTACTTAGATGTATATAAATAGTAAAATATTTGTAAAAAATTAACAAATACACAAAAATATGAAAAATGTACAAATTTTTTGTATATTTGGCATTTAGTGAACTTTTTAAAAAAATTTTTTACAAATATTATACTTTTTAAGTGTATTTATGTTAGGTGCGTCTAAATTTTTTTTAAAAATTGCTTAAACTATTAAAAAAATTCAGTGAAAACAAAAAAATTGAAAAACGAAAAAGTAAAATTTTTTGAAAGATAAATTCTGAAAACTGAAACCAAATAGGGTGTATAAGTTTTGTGAAGGAAAAGAAAACTAGAAATTTAATTAAAAATTTTACATGAACATATGATTAATGGTTACTAGGCCAAGCTAAGCAAATTTTTAATGCCTAATTAATATTATGAGCAAGTTTGAATTTATAATTATCAATTTTAGAATTTGATTTGAGAAGTATTTATGTACAAATTTAAAAATAATATATTAGAAAATATCATAAATTATTGATTAAAAGTGGGGTCTAGCGAGGGAAAAATGTATGTAGCCTTACCCACATTTTTAGAGAAACTATTTTTGTGACTCGAACCTGTATGACATGAGTACCCTCAATATAAAATAATAAAAGACGCGTGACTATTCTAACACTCCTCATCAAGCTAGCGCATACAAATCAAACATGTACACCTTGATAAATAAACGCTTAAAAGACAGACAAGCTTAACAGCTTAGTGAAAATATTACCTAATTGATCATCAAACAGAATATAACGAGTCGCAACTTCGAAAATTGTTTTCACAGTAGTAAACCCCAAATAAAATGACAGTCCACCTCAATATGTTTTATAGCGATCTCGGTTTCTAACTCAACCTTTATGGTGTTTCGGACTCAGGCCTTATGGTTTAATGTTGTTGTTATGTCTCTTCCTCCTCTTACTCTTTGAATTTGAGTTTTGGAATGTCTTGGGCGTGTTTAGAACAAGTTGGTTGCTAATTGGTCTAGAACCTTGTTGCCCAGAATTTTGGTCTTGCGCTCGAGCAGGGTTTGCAATCACTCAGTACTTTGTACGTCTGAAAGAAATACTGCAGAAGTGTTTTTCACGCTTGAGCGGCGTTTCTTACGCTCGAGCGGGTCTGAGCTCGAACGGCCTTTCTTGCACTAGTGCGGCCGTCTGAAGTCTGTAAAATACTGGATGTGTATATTCTACGCTCAAGCGCGTCTCATTACGTCTTGGCGCTTGAGCGGCCTTTGTTGCACTCGAGCGGGTCGAGTTTCTGTGGCTGACGCTCGAGCGTCAAATTCTCCGCTCGAGCAGACTGTACGTATATCAGATCGCGAAAGTGACATTTTAAATCACTTTTTCGGTCCTTTCTCTCTCTTAAACTTTCCAAAACCCTAAGTTGAGAGCTTCTCTCTCTAGAATACTCTCTCTCTCTCTCTTCATTTTGACCTAGATCAAGTGATTTCTACACCCTTGTGTCTTCATTAGAAAGTTGGAGCATCTCAAGATCTACCTTTTGAATCGAATAGAGTGGGGTTTTGGCATCTTTGAAGCTTATCTCTTTCTTGGCTCATCTTCTCTTCTTGAGGTAGGGATATTATACTCTCCTATATGGGTTTTAACATAAGTATTAGTCATTTGTATAAATGGTGGGTTTGTGGAAGATTTTGGTAATGTTAAGGTTAGGGTTTTGATATTTGAAAGGGAGGTTTCCTATTTTGGGTTCCGTATGTATGTGAGACCTTGAAAATGGGGTTGTTTGGGTATAATGGTGAGATTTGGCCTTGGGTGCACTATTTGAGAAAATGGGAAAAATGCCCTAATTTGAACTATATATATATTTGTATAAATGACGAAATCATTATGGAAATATGAAATTGGTTTGAAAATCATGAAATTGGAGGAAATTGTTTTTACATGGTGTAGTTGGATTGATGAATCACTCACCTATGGAAAATGTGTATATTATCTGTTGAGAAATTTATTTATCTGTTTAGATATATCTGTTTTGGGTTATCGGTGGAGGATAGCCTTGATTGCTATTGAAACTACATGTTGATTAGGTAAATTGAAACTAATCAATTGAAATATGTCATTGAATTTTACGATCGAATGTAAACATTGTATATGTGATTGAGTTGGTCATTGTATATGGCAACGTGTGTAAATACATTGTATGTGTATATTGTTTGGGAGGAAATAGGGGATGGACTCCATGGGTAATTAAGTTGGCCGGAGTGTCCAGGGTGAAAGTCCCAAAATCTTATCTATATTTGGGTACCGATTCCCTCGGACGTAGTTCCGTAAAATGGCAAGTTATGGAAGTGTATGAATGATGTTTATGATTGAAATGTCGATGAATGAATTGTAGTCTCATTTTGAATTGTTTATATGATAATGAATTATGTCAATGAATCGACTTGGGTAATAACTGGATGTAAATCGAAATGTGGGTATCAATGTCGATTGATTATGGAAAAGGTTTAAGATGGTTCATAAGTGTTAAACATTTATCGAATACTAATGTTTTAATTAATTCTCATATGTTGTTTAGCATATCTTTACTGGGCATTGGCTCACCCTACTTGGGAAACCATTTTTCAGGTACAGGTGATATGCTGCCTCCAAGGTCTTAGCTTGGCAGGTTTAGGGGTTGAAGACTCCTTTGTAGTTGTTTTTCTTTGATGTTAACTGTATATTCAGGTTAAGGGCTTTATATGTAAAAAGTTAGAACTCTTATTTTGCTGTAACCAAGTTATTACTTGGAAAGATGTAAGCCTGTAGGGCATTTCTTTTGTTATTAGAAGTTAGCATTACATGTAATATCTTTCGTAAAGAAGACTCTGATGAATGAAAATATAATACCTCTTTTGTGTTCATGGATTATATGAATGGTTGTCTTATACTGTATTTTGAGGGCGTTACAACTTGGTATCAGAGTGTACCGGGTTTGAATACTTTGGATACGTGGGAAATGGTTAGTACCACAATGGGTTTGTCTTGCTTGTTAGACACTTAAGTGAAATGTTATGTGCTTATATGATTACATGTTTGTGTCACTATATGGGTATGAGATTTAGTTTCTAGGATGTTGATCGGGTCTATGGGTTTCTGGGAGTCCTGTTGGAAAGGCACTTGATCACTGCCGTTTCTAACTGGAACTCTAGCAACGCCACGAGACGGTTACTATCCGGAAATGAAATTCGTAAGTGTTTACGTGATTATGTGCTTATGTGAAATGAATTGCTGTTGTCCATCGTATTAGGACGCGAGTGAAATAGCTTCGGCATATTTGTGAATGCGCTAATGTCTTTGTTACCTTTATTAGGATGTCAGGACGAGGTCGTGGTGGTAGGCGTGGTAGGCCTAGGAGGCAGGAGATACCTATACCAGATGAGATTCCGGCGCAGGAGGAGGGAGTTAATTAAGCCAACATGGCTGAGCCAGTAGGTCAGCAGGCCATGGGCGCCTTAGCCCGCGAAATGGCAAGGGCATTGAGGGAATCTATGGACATTCTCAGGGTTTAGAATCAAGTCCAGGCCCATGTAGCTGAGGCAGGGCCGTCTTTTCTGAAGAGGGAGTTCTTTCGGTCGAATCCGGACGAGTTTTTGGGTGACCCTAAGGAGCCACTGAAGGCTGACAAGTGGTTGGAGCAGATGACGA